TCACCAGTGCCGTGTCATTCCATTCCTACTGGGGATGCTGTTTGCCTTTAACAGTAAAGCAGTTGCAGCCCTAACCTTCACACAAACAGTAATATTGTACAAACTTGATGATCTATCAGTAAAAGAAGTAGCTCCCTTCTGCGTGCAGCTTAGTATTTCTGCATTTTAGTTTCTTCCTTTGACTTCAGGCAGCTTGTCTTACCATGGAATGTGGAACCATGAATGCTGACATCTCTCTGTGCCTTGCCCAAGCAATTATTCTTCACGTAAGAGCAGGAACTCCTCATGCTGTTTGTTCTTGAAGTGTGTGACAGGTAGTGTCCAGTCAAGCAGGGCACTAAACTCGAGCTTCCAGAACTGAGGCTTGATCCCAGAGACAGTTCAGCAGCTGGTGCTGTCATAATGGAAAATGCACTGTGATGAAATCGGAACTGGTTCAGCTGATGTGTTAATAATAACGATGACTAGGTTTGCATTAGAAAAATTCAACAGTTAACTTTTTTTGTGTTTTCCTATATTTAAATGTAGGACATTAAACGCCATAGTGTGTTACATTAGAGGTTGCAGAAGTGGCTGTCTGTTTCATCGAAACACAGAAAATAGGAGCAGGAGTACGCCATTCGGCTCTTCAAGCCAGCTGTGCTGTTCTTTATTATTATGCCTAATCATCCAACTCAATAGCCTGTTCCTGCTTTTCCCCCAATCCTTTGATCTATTTCGACCTAATGCTATATCCAGCTCTTTGCCATCATGCAACGTTTTGGCCTTGACTACTTTCTCTGATAGCAAATTCCATAGGCTCACCACTCTCTGGGTGAAGAATTTCTCCTCCTCTCAGTCAAAAATGGTTTACACCATATCACTAGTCTGTGACCCTTGGTTCTGGACTCATGGGTAGAGGATGATCTGGGTAGCTTCTCTCATACTAAGAAGGCTGTATTCCAGAACAAAATCCAAAACAAAAACTGACTTTTGACAGCCATAAACTTGGCATGTGATTTCCAGTAAATTAAGAATTAGCTTAAGCCATGTGACTTCCAAGAAGTCTAACTTTTTAAAAAACCCATTGTAAAGCAAATCCTCTGGAACAAAATTGATGATGAAGCATCTTCATAACGATAGCTACTTGTGTACAATATTTAAGGAACATAAGTTGATATTAGTTATGGCAGAATGTAGAAGTTAAATTTGCACATGCAGTTTATTTAGTCCTGCATTGGTTTATGTTGTAGCAGTTTATGTCAAAAGATTAAATCTGGGATCCTCAATTACTCTGAGTCATTGAGTCTCTCAGAACAGGATGATCTTAGGTGCAACCATTTATCTAAGTTTGCTGATCCCAGCTGCATATTGAGTGATTCGCCCACTGCGGTAACTATGGGTGTTCTGCTGTTTCCCCACTCACCACCAACTGTTTCCTGGTGGGCTGTGTACATGCTGTCTGAGGAATATCTGGGAGTTGGGATGGCCAAACCTGGGTTTACAAACAGAAGGATTTGAGGGACCATGGTCTCTAAGTATAAAGCAGACTTGATTGGAAAAGTGCTTGAGAGAAGTCTCTGTTTGACTTAGTAATGGGACACTGTGATAATGTTACAGGAATGCTAACAAAATTAAGTATGCTATCATTACATTCCCTTGTGTATTATGGATAAAATAAACCAGTTTGTGACTTGCAGTTAATGTTGCCTCATTGGATATTGGCCTTTTGTCCTTTCCAGCAGCAGGGAGGAATATGTATGGGAGGTACAGATGTATTTCTAGTATCCATAATGATGGGGCATTGGGTAACGAAGGCTGACTGACCGTAAGGGGCAAGGGATTCATGTGGGAGATGGTGGCATTAAAAAAATCTGGAGAGAGTATTAAAATAACTAGCCTCACATATGGTAAGATGGGGCGAACTGCATCATACCCCGTGATGACAGCTGTTCAGCCTCTCTGAATTAATGGCCATAGTGTGTGGTTCTGGAGGCAATGCCTTCAGAGGAAGGAAAATAGCAACAAATGCCAACTGTCATGCCATGCCGCTGTTTCTTTTGCAGATTAAATGTTGAGTGCAAAGCTTGGGACCACCTGCTGGAAGTCTATCACCAAAAAGCAGAACATGCAGCTCAGTGAGTTCCTCAGTGATTTCTTTCTTGGTCAGTCAGGTCTCTGGTCCATTGGAACCTTCTCAATGTGAGTCCGTCTCTCATCAAACTAATCTGAACTGTATGTGGAATGCACATTCACCTCAACAGCAAGATCATAAGATTGAGCCCAACCCCCACCCAGCTTCCCTTGCTATCTTTGATCACTTTTCCACAACACTCTGATGTTATTTAAATACAGTCTGAAGCAGTGAACCTGAGGGGTGCAACCGTTCTGTTTCATGTCTGTGATGCTCGGCAGGGAAGGTAAGTTAGGAGTTCTACTTCAATCACTATCCAGAAAGTGCAAAGGCTGGGCATTGTGTTTGTGTTCTTTTTACTAACAGCCTGACGCTGGCTGTATCTGAGCTTGCAGTCTATTTGGATGAGGGATAATCCAGCACAGAGAGCACTGATTCTCATAAAGGGGAGGAAACTCTGTTATTTCAATTATAATTTTAGTGATGAAAATCTCAATTAAAATGAATAAATAAAGTGACTAAGATTTGGGAGTGAATCAATAACATAAACGATGGAGAAGGGAATAGAAATTGAGGAAATCTTGTAAATGCGGTTGTAATTTCTCGTGATTCAGGCTGAAGTGTATGATCCAAATGCAAGTTTATTACTCGGGCACCAACAATATTATAACTATGACAGTTGCACAAAGGATTCTTACAGCCTAGTTCCGTGCAGGCCTGGGGTAATCAAATTTGATCTGTATAAATGTTGCCCCTCTGGCTGTAAGGAACTGTTCCCTGACATTTTGTGCACACTTTCTTTGAGATGGTTCCCAGACATATAGTGGAGCAAATTCCTTCTCTCCTAACCTCCAACTGGGGAGCATATAACTGAACTGATCTGGTGTTCTCTGATTCCAGAGGTTAAAATTTACTTTCCTATTTGGGTTTGTTAAACAATTTTCTAATTTTATTCATTTTAGTGATTTGGAGAAAGCAAAAGTAGCTGAAGGGACGTTTGAACCAATCGCTTTGGAGAATTCTCAAATGAATGTGATCAGGACAAAGCCAGACTACCAGAGTTTTCTGAATGAGGATGTGTCCGTTCTCCAGAATATGGAATGTATAGTGAGTACATGGTACACAAGATTCGGGGGCAGGAAACGAGGTTTGCTGTGGGGTGGTGCAATGTAACATCTTGGTCTGGGAGTCAATCATAACAGTTTACAAATGATGTATAATTTAAATGGACAGGAAAGATATCTGACTTGGGTGTTGAAAGGTGCGTGATCTATATACAGCAATTTTTTTTTAGTGAGTTTGAATTTTAAGCTAGTGGCATATGGGTGTCAGTTTATTTTGGTGAAAGGGTTTAAAATTAACTAGGTTAATCTTCCTAGACCATGATTTTAACACAGTATGTGTATCCTGGTGTGTTAATTGAAGTTTGTTTATTCTATTGGTGTTTACCACCAAAAAGGGGTGTTAACATTAAGGTGTTAACTTCGCAGAATTCAGGGTGAACAGACTTTTACTTAAATTTAATTCAAAAGCTTTTGAATTCAGTTGGAAGGAAACCTGACTGAAGCCAGATGCAAATGTAGTCTTTGCCAGAGAAGTAGATTGTTCAGAGCAGTTAAGGAAATAAATTACTTTAGTGAAAGGTTGTGAAAGTTTGTGAAACTTGCAGACCAGGAATGTTTGGTTAGAAACCAGATTATTAAAAGGCTGAGCAAGTCTAAGCCCTAAGTTGAGTGATGGCTCTAGTAAGAAGCCATACCAACTCATAGGACTGGAGCTGAAGAAAACAGAAGAAATGGTTAAGTCAAACCTACAGATTTGTTTGGGTAACACATTTCTCTGGATTCTGAGTTACTGTAAAATGATGGTGTTGGGGAGTAGACGGGATTTTGTTTTACCATTTCTTTTGAACCTTTCAATCTGTGCTATGATGTCTTTCTTTTGTGTAATACATTTTTTATTGTTTAAAAGCAAAAACCTGTTTCAATGAGAGACCATCATGTTTTTAAAATAAAAAAAATCTATCAGGCCAGATTTTATTCTGGGATCTGACTTGTCCAGTAGTAACCTTACCTGGGATCAGAATACCCATTACAAGCGAGAATGGCCCCTGATTGGACAAACTGATGGGGTATGCAGATCTCCATTGGCCAATGGTCGAAGTCTCCTTTGAGTGGTTGGTGGTCACAGATCGGAAGATGCTGATTTCCAAGGATGGAAGTGGCAGTTTCCTGTTATGTAGAGTCTTCCTGAGTAAGCCAAAGTATTAGACCAAAGGCAGCATGAATCACTCTGGAAAAAGTCTCCTTCAGCTTACCAAGCTTTTGGTTAAGTCTGGAAGTTTTTGCCATCCAAAGTGTCTGGTGTGCTTCTCTCACGCATGCTCGCTCACACACGCACACTCACTCACGTACGCGCGCGCTCTCCCAGTCTTGTGCTCTTGCTCTCTCTCTCCGTCTTGCACGCATGCTCGCTTTCACTCTCACACCCCTGTCCAATCAGGATTTGCCATGTCTTGTTTCTGTGCCTGTGCTAGAGACAAGTCCTTGTCAGGTATAATAGTGTTCACTGCCTGCCAGGAATTTGCTGTGAGGGCTTTCTATCTGAGAGGGAGAGAAAACTATTCTGATAATATTCAGTGCAATTCCTAAGATTTTATAAAGTTGCTGAGGGTTTTCTTACAGCAGTCAGAAATTCATGACCAGTGAACTGACTGGAGGCAGAGTGTCTGGGTTGGGGAGAATTTTATTTGCAATACTGAAGGTATAATTTACGCTTCTTGAAGTGCAAGGTGGAAGAGTTGAGTCTGTTGCTCCATGTTTCCTATGCATCACTGATGGTTGTTTCCATACAACTCTGCCTTTTCCCTTAACGTGTTGGCGTGGGGTGGGGGACATTCGCAAACGGCTCCTGCAGCATTCAGATGTTGCCAGATTTCACCCGAATCCAGTTGTAATTGGCTGACACCACTGGGAGCAGTGAGGCAGGCCAACCCCAGTCAGAATCTCAATGGCTCAGTGAAAAAGAGAGAGAGACCTGAGTGCTAGCTGGAAGGTTGATTTGTGTCTGCCAAGTCGGAATACAAAAGATTGGAAGTTGTTGCAGCCTGTAAACCCATCCCACTTGCTGAAACTGGGTCCATAGTAAAGCCTTCTAAAGGATATAGAGGTTCTTGCCACTGCTCCTGTATTTCACATGTTGCCACCAGTTGTGCCCCACCCTCACTACACATCTTTGAAGGTTCACCATTCCAAGTGTAATTGGAACTTTAACCTCCATCTATAGTGGTTTGGGCCAGAACTCCAACCACACCGCCTGTCTATGGTCTGTAAAATTGTCATGTAATTCGCTGCTTGATGCAGGTCCCTGTGTGTGCAAATGGGGAGGGGAGACAGTTTGGACACAGCCTTGTCTTTTTATAGCTGTGGTTCAACAACGATTGTGTGCATGTGAAGTTTAGGCAATTCATGGTTTAAATCATGACTGAAAGCCAGGGATTTGTATTGCTTGCTGTGGAGTTTGTGATCTGAAATCCATTGTATATCACTGTCCTTGATGTTGGAAATGGTGATTTTGTGATTTGAGTGATGCTCCATGATCTGGAGCTGATTTGTGATCTCTTGTAGATGGACCAGCTGCAACTAACCACGAACATGATTACTCAAGCCAAACAGGAATGGGATTCCTGGCTGAAAAATATATCCAAAAAACTGGGTGAGTTTCTCCATTTGTGTCCTATCCAGAGTTAGGCCTCCGCATTAATTCATTAAACAATAAGGTGGCTGAATTGGCTGGATCTGAGCCCTCCCCTGAGGCACAGTAGGTTTCTGCCACTCAACAGGATTCCTTCATCAGGGAGGACTTGAGCTGAGGAAGCAAAATCATTCACGCTCTTCTAAGCATCTCATTTTGCTGCAGGTCAGCATTGAGCACTTGAATCTGCTGTTTGAGATTTGTTTGGGACGGTATTCAGGTTGAATTGTCTGAATGGACTGAGAGAGGTCTTCACTCGCCTTTAATATAATGATTAGTAGCTATAATATGAATGCAGAGCTTGATTGGTTGTTGATTTTAGAACTTTCTTGCTGTTTTCATTTACTGAAATTCATTGCATGCATGGAGACTGACAGTACCCAAGCGTTTTGTGGAACCATACCCTTTCCCTGCATTCTGGGGTTTTTACAACATAGTCTAAAGTCCATCTGGTATGCTGCTCTTTGCTAATTTGATGCTGAAGGCAATACTGGAAGCAGCAGCTTGAGGGAGTGCTGCACGACATCATAGCCATAGTGACAGGACAGGATCTGGAGAAGCCAGTTGATCCATTCACTATTGTGAGTGTGTTGCAGAGGAGAAAACTGAACTCCTGCAATTAACACTCAGCCCAGGGCAAAAAAGAACAGTTGGCTACTCACCAGTTATGGAAAGGGACTGGAATGGGTGGAGGTGAAATATACCAATGATGGAATGTCACTGTTATAGATTGTTTGGCACATGTCAGTTTGTAAAAGAGAAATCTGCAATCTGAGTTTTTCTTTCTGTGCAGCATCCAGAACATTCAAAGGGCTGGAAGAATGTCCGGTACAGAAATTCCTAACAGCTACCAAGGAGTAGTGAAGAGAACTGAGATGGCAATTATTGGGTTGAGAGGAGATCTTCTCATTGGACTTTTAATGCCTGTGGCAGTGGCCTGCAAGACACTGTACTCACCTGGACTTTGCTCAGGATTTCACCTGAGATTTTACCACTTTTTGCACCTTTTGCTGGCATTTGAGGCTAGACATATTTTCTACTCCCCTTCCCCCAGTTTAGAGTTCCACAGTGAAAGGCAGCTCTCACCCAGTCTAGCTTTTAGTTTCACAGATTCTAAGCAGGTGGTGAGTGATTTAGGAGGCAACAGATCAGGTCCTAGTGATGTGGCTGTACTGGAATATCAAGTAGGCTCAGGTATTTGCCCAGCTGTGAAATCTGTGGTAGGTTATCTTGCCGATGCTTGCTGACTAGGCTTCTGTTGAGAATGGTCATTTGGGACCAACATGTGACAGAGCTGTGGGAGCCTTTGACACAGAGGATCCATTTGTGGCAGCAGGAGGTCAGAAAGAGACTGGATTGATGTGATGTGTTTAAATGAGTTCAAATCTATGGGAAAGTCTGCCTCTAGTGGCAATGTATTTGGGTTTTGGTAACTGATTACCAGAGCAGCTGCTACCATTTTGAAGTGAAATGGGCCAATGATCTTGTGAAAACCCACAGCATCCTATTGCAAAATTAGAAATGAATAGTTTTGCACATGAATGGAAAGTACTCGTGAGCACCTTGAGTCTTTTCTTTCATGTATGTGCTCCTCTCTGGCAATGCATCTAGACATAGTCCAACAGGTCTCACTGCAGTTGTGAGTGCACTTTGACAGTCTTTCATCTGAGCTTTACATGCTGGTGTCCAGTTATGAAGGTTGGTATAGTAATGGAATAATTTAGTTGAGAACATGTGCTTTTGTCTGCCTGAATCTCAACTAACTGCAAAACTGAGTAGGACTGGAAGCTATAATCACCCCAACTTAACTTTGAAGTTTAATTCAGGCAGAAGTAAGGAATTACATTTTAACATCAGTTTTATACTTTGCTTTGTGCTTGTTACTTACAATGAGAAATTTGAGATATTTCTGGAAGGTAATTTTCATCGTTTGGGTAGACATTTTTATTGGTAAATAGTGAATGTTTTCTGAGCACTAACTGGTCAGGACAGTTTGCATTGAATGTAAAAATTGTTACAGTTTCAGGATAAATCTGATCAACTCAACTTCAGTTACTAGCTGGTTCTATGACAAGAAACATGGGAGGGTTCCACACCCATATGGCCCTTGGGAGCTTTGAACTTGGTTCGCTCATCTGATAAAGAAGTCAGTATCCACACTATAGAAGTGAAGCACCGAGATACTTGCCCAAGAATTGTCAGTGTGTTGGTAGTGAGTGATTATGGCTTCAATCTGTCCCTGTTTCTTATTAGCTGGAGATTATTGGCCCATTTCTATTTTCCATATTTTCAAACATTTGTTCCTGAGCTTTCTGTATATGGTCTGTAAATTGTATAGTAGATTGTACATTAAAGTTTAATTTCCACAAAGATTACTTCTGACTTATGTTTTATCCAGTGCACTGAAATATAGTTTGCCATTCTTAACTACTTCATGACCAAGGAATGTTTTTGTCATAATTATATTACTAGACAATTGCAGAGAACCTGAGCTCAAATACTAATGTGGTAGCTTAGGAATTTTAATTGTTTGTTGAATAATACACAACAATGAGCTCATCTTGGTAAAACTGACTAATCTGTCAATTGGTTCATTAAATATTCCTTAGATAAGGAATTTGTAACATAGTTGACAGTTGACTCTTAACTGCCCTTTGCAGTGTCATAAAACCACTGCTACATGAAAATCCTGACTGCCAGTCAACAAGTTCTGACATCACATTTTTCGTTCCTTCATGGCGGTCACTCGCAATCCAGCATGTGTTGCTCAACCTTAATGGCTTCTTAGAAGGTGTTCAGCTGCATTCTTGAACAACTATTAGGGAAGAAAGTTCCAGGATTTTGACCCAGTGGCAATGAAGTAACAACAGTTCCAAGTAGGCTTGCAGGGGAACTTGCAGGTGGTGGTGTTCCCATATATGCGCTCCCTTGGCCTCCTAGGTGGTAGAGCTGGGGGGTGTGGGGGGTGTGGAAGGTGATGTCTGAAGTGCTGTGGTGAGTTGCAACAGTGCATCTGTAAATGGTGGACGTTGCTGCCACTAAGGATGGACAAATGTTACTGTTACACAGTCATAGAGATATATAGCACGGAAACAGACGCTTCGGTCCATCTCATTCTTGTTGACCAGATATCCTATAAAATCTAGTCCTATTTGTCAGTATTTGGCCCATATCCCTCTAAACCCTTCCTATTCATTTACCCATCACCAGATTCTAAGAATGAATTCAAAATCCATCACTGCAGAAGTTTTCACGGGAATAAAGTTTATTTTTAAAGATAAAAGAAAATCGCAAAATTTCTGGGTCATTACGCACACTTTCCTGAATAATGTTTAAATCACCACGTGTCTTTTCCCTAGTCTGCGTCTTACAATCAGCAGAAATTTCATTTCTTACATTTTGTTGTTTTACAAATTATTGGTGTTTCTTTTTCCATGTATGTTTTAAATCCTCAGAAATATGTAGTTTTCCCATAAGTGAGATATTGCAGAATTGGGTGTCAGGGTACCTTTAGATTTGAATGCTGTAATGCAACTATTAATGGGTACTTGGGAATGTAAAGCAGGTTTCTGTTTATGCATGAACATTCAGTTCTACTAAGAAACTGGTAGTAAGCTGACTTAAACCTACATATTGTTAACCTGCACCAACCTCTTCTCCAGCATAGTTCTTGCTACTGATTGTTTCTCATTTCGCCAGGGAGGCCATACACATGCTTACCCAGCAACATGGAATGTCCTAGTTTTAAAATCAGTAAACCTGTTTGTGAGCTATTAATAAGAACCTGGTCTGCTCTTCAATCAATCTCTTATGCTGCTTACCAAGTTTCCTTTACTTCCTATTTCAGTATTGATGAGATATTTAACTTGTCCAGTTGCAATTAGCCATTTTTATTAAGTATGGGGATGGTAAAGAAATAACCCATGAAATGACTGTAGAGGACAGATGGTTAAATTACAAAAGGATAGAAAAGGAGGCAAAAAAGAGAAATAGAAAACGTATGCATCTCAGTGAATAACTGAAGGTGAATCAGTAAAAAGTGCAGCTGGAACATGTATAAAATTGAGCAGGCTCTAGTAGCCGGAGTTTTATTCAAACAAAAGCAAGTGAGCACAAACTGCAGACGATTCTGTCAAAGGTGTTTGTTACAGTGGGGGTGGGGTGCTATTCTCAAGCACCAACTAGTCTTTCCTCTAATCCCTAGAACCATTAGACCAGTCCTAAAGCCACCATCATCATACTCCTGAGATTTGAAATGTGAGCTGGCAAGTTCCAGAATGTGTTTAAAGAAATGCAAGGCAAAAATCACTTTGCTGTGTAGAACAAACTATAACTGAAATCCACAGCAGTTCTGGTTTGTGGCAAAACAAATGTTTTATTCTGTTTTGTGTTAACCAATACAAATAAAAATGCAATACACTTTTTTCTTGTTTTTTTTTCAAAAGTTATCAAGCCGTTTACACGGTATCTGGTTTTTGCCATGGCATGAACCCTTTCCAGTAACTGAAAATGACCCACCGTAAGCAAATTTATACAGTTTAAATTTTTAATACAGTAGTCTTCTATTTAAACAGATGTATCATCCTGCCTATTTGCAATTGTTCTATGATTACTGAAAATAAATGGCTCACTGAGATTTCATATAATCTGATTTTTTTTTTAATTTTTAACAATGCTACTTTATTTCCTATTGGTAGCTATTACCTATATTGTTTTTCCTGAACTAATTGTTTAAAAAAGAGCTTTCTTTTAAAATCTGAGGTACTTGATTTTGGGGTATCTGTCAACCGCAAACATAATTAGTGACTTGTCTTGCCAACACTGATTTCTATTAATTTTTTAAGTGACTTTGTAACATTGTTACAAATCATTGCATTATTCATGATCTATAATTGACAGTAGATAATTTTTGCTGGTACAAGTACCTCACTATGACCAGACTTTGATTCTCAAAGAAAGAGTCCATGTAGGATAAAACTTCAAAAAACAGATTTCTGGAGGGAAAGAAATGCAAATTTCATTTTCAAATTAAATGTTTTATAAATAGAAACTGAGATTTGATTTATTTAGAACATCTCTGCATTTATCCCCCATCCCCATGTCCCAAAAAAATGCAAATTGTAGGTGCAGAATGAGGAGGGAGAGTCACTCAAGGAGTTAGTGATGTTACAAGATATCGAGAAACATGCACTGCATTGACTGGTAATAGTGGTATTAACACACTGCTTTTAGAATGCATATTTCCACTGACAAATTATTCCCTAAACAAAGTAATTTGAGTTACAACCTCAACTTGTTTTTATATTTTGATGTTTTAAAAAATTCAAAAAGATTAAATTTTATGATTAAAATAAATTTCTTAAGAACGTGTAATTATTTTTCCTCTGGTTCCATCTGAATAAACAGAAATCTCTTGTATTTGTCTTATTACTGAATGTCGATTTAAGCGAGTGGATCACAGTTAAAGGAGCTTTATGCTGCTTCACTCGTTCAGGGTGAACTAAAATGATCAGAATTGTAGGACCTTTCCCATAATGACAGATAGTTTGGAAAGGCCACGCTGCAGTGTTGGCCACTGATCACAACACTGTAGACAGTAGCTGTGCAGAACGCATCCAGAATGATTGTAAGTTCAAATATTATTTGAAATTTTGGTCATCTACCGGTGGTGGCTGAACAAGTTAAAGTAGCATCTTATGCCAAGGTCTAAAGTGATCAGTGCTGAGATGGGAATTCTGCACTCCTGGTTATCAGCTGCAACAGGCCAAAGTCACATACAAATCAGGTTTTCATTTGAATTTTCATACAAACCTTCCATTTGTTGAAAATAATTCAAACCAACAAACATATCTTCCAATGAAAGATTAAAAAAACTAGACATTATTGTTGCTTAAGATGGACATTTTTAAGCAAGTAGCTAACTCATTCTTTTGCTCATATTCCCAGAAATCATCGATGTTTTTAAGCAAGCTGCCCTGTAGTTTCAGAGATTTTCCACAGGGTGATCTTCAGCAATCTTTACTTATAACTCCCAAATCCAAACTCTGCACAGAGATCACCTTGGACCAGTGCACATTAACAGCAGCCTGAAGCTCCATTGGGACTGAATACATTCATTGCAAAATGAATAACATTTATGGGGCAGGAAGGGGTTCTGCATCGAACCAAAAGCTCAGCTTCCACACTTTTTTTTAGAAAAGAGCTCAGGAATCTGTCGGACAGAGTCCTGTTGAAACTTCAATCAGTCATGTCTTTACATTTACAGTAAGAGAGTCTGTGCACTCACAGAGTAAAAATTACCTTTGGGATTTAGAATTTTTACAATGACATCAAATTTCAAAAGTTCAAACACCACAACCATCAAGACAGAACGCCAGAAACGGAAGATTAAAAAAGTTAGTAAAGCTGAACCATGTATACTTTTTTGTGTGAGCGTCTGTGTTATGGAGATTTTTGGTACAGGCAGTGTAGATTTGGATAGACATTAATTGCACACAGAAGGCAACTACAAAAAGGACTATTTCCAGGAATGTCTCCACTCCAATCTTGTTTTTAGACTTAGGTTATTTTTGACAGTCTAAGCTGAATGATTTATAAAATCCCAAATAGAAACATTGGGAAGTGCCAGTCCTGGGCACAGACCATTCCTGAAGTCCGACATCACTTTACTAAAGTAAACTTTCCCAGCATTTCAAATTGAATTCATTTTCTAGTTACCAGACTGGAAGAATTCCTCATCCTTACTGAATGATTTATTTTGGCTTCCACCACTGTTGATTCTTTTTACTGTGTGTGGACTATTTAATTCTATATTGTTATTCCAAGAGTTGTCCAATAATTTTTTTCTGCATTTAAAACAATCCAGTAACTTTTGCAATTTTGAAACACAGAAGGAGTTTACACAAAAGGCTGTACTAACTTGGCCTCATCAGAAAAGCAGATTTCTGATAAAAGAGTAACTAAGGGTTGGAACTACAGAATACATAAGATCACAATAACTAACAAAAATCTATTATCCATTATTCCTATTTTCCTTTACATATTGAATTTCAGTTTTAAGAAAAAGTTAATAAAGGGCTTTGGCCATTGTTAACATTCACACTGTGCTGAACAGTGCAGAACAGTATCAGCTATCACCAGGCACAGTGCTACCTCACTGCCCCAAGATCAAAATTATACAGGCAAGCACAGACCAGGTCCGCGTCAGCCCAGTCATCAACAGACATTTTTCACAGGGTGACTGAGGTCCATCCTTTGCACAATGATTTTTTTTAAATACAGTGCCCCTTTTTGCCAAACATTCTGTTTATATTCCTGAAATACTTGCTTTTAATGCAGTGGTGCCTATTTCATTCACTGCTGACAAGTTTGAAGAGGAAGTGGTAGAAAGTCAGCCCTGAGAAATCTATTGTTTGATTCCGAGCGAGATTCAGAGCTGCTCTGTACTTCTCTGAAAACCAATACTAACTTCTAGTCAGACACTAAAGACTAACACGTCGTTAGCAAAAAAAAAGTCAGTCTGCATTAGTTGAGTAGACCTGCATACCCTAACACAATCACATGGTCAGCGTAGGGCTCAATATCTGTTTGTGCAGTCACTTCAACTTACTTAAAACACAGCAAAATGCCTGTTCACTTCAGAGCAGGAACTTTAAAAGCAGTAATACCTTGGGTTTCATTTTCATGCATCAATCTTAGTGAACTGTTTTCCTAATACAGCTGACCCATGAAGCTTAATTAAAACTTGCACATTGCAACACTGATAGAAGTTGAATGACTGGGATAAAATTGACAAACATAAGGTGATGGCTAAAGAATGAGTAAGTCTAGAGTATATTGCTGCGAGGTAGTGTGTAAGCACTGTAACCTAAACAGGAAGCATTCCTCTATTGGTTTTAAAGGGTTTTACAGTGAGGTAATTGGCTGCACTCTGTTGTGTGAAAAATGTATAAATACCTTTTCTTGTCCTACTATATTTACATATAGGTGGCAGGGAGCTTCTACCCAAGAAAGAATCCCAATGACCCTTCCAATGAAATCAGGTTGGAAATCAAGTCCTTTGCATCCTATGGGTCGAATGAAATGAAAGCCAGTGGGGTAGGAGGTGATTGCTGGCAGCTCATCAGTTGGAGGTGTCTGAATTGACACTGCCTGGTCCTCCAGTGGGTGAAGTCACAGAAGATGGGGTAGTAGCATCCTGCCAGCTGCCATTAGCCTGTGAAAAAGAATAGCAAAGTCAAGCTTTTCCATCCTTTCTGCCTTTTCCACTGGATCTACAGTCACAGCAGATATCAACAGTATCTTTTCTCATTTCACTGAAATACTTGTACTTAGCATTCCATCCATTCACAGAAAGCTTCTTGGTTTCAAACAGGTCTGCCCCTTTTCAACCTGGTTAGTCCCAGTTCTACAATGCATGGGATTGAGGATGGGGTTTTTCCAGGATTGTTTTCAGTGTTCGGCAGCTAAAAAATCTCTAGCAATGCAGGAAACAATTTCTTTCACATGACATGATGAGATTTTAAACCCATCAGCTCCTGGAAAGTTTGAGTGAGTCTGTCAGTTCAAATAGTTTCCACATGAACTTTGCTAAGGTCTTGAGTTGTTGATGAACTGTCAACTTACATAGCACCTTGGAGTTTTGAGCAATGGTTCTGTAAGTTGAATCAACAGAATATAGAATAAATTCCTGTGAAGTCATCACAGAAAGAATTTGATCTTTGCCTGCGCCACTCAAGTGTGATAAAAATGCCATAATCTGGAGGTGCCGATGTTAGACTGGGATGGTCAGTAGTCAGTTGACACCAGGTTATAATCCGACAGGTTTATTTGAAATCACAAGCTTTCGGAGAGCTACTCCTTTGTCAGGTGACTAGCAACAGTGGACAAGGCACATTCAGTTTCAATGATCAAGGCATGTTGTGTCAATGAACAAGGCACATTCAGTAACAATGGACAAGGCATGTTCAAGGTCAATGGACAACTCATGCTGAGTGCCAGAGCACAAGGCATGTTCACTGCCAATGGACAAGATGCATTCAGTGACAATAGACAAGGCACACTCAGTGTCAAATGGACAATGCATGTTCTGTGTCAATGGACAAGGCATGTTCAATGACAATGCACAAGGCATGCTCAGTGTCAGTGAACAAGACACGTTCTGTGACAATGGACTGCACGCTCAGTGACAATGGACAAGGCACGCTCAGTGACAATGGACATGTACAGTGACAGTAGACTAGATACATTCAGTGACAATGGAGAAGGCATGCTTGGTGTCAATGGAAAAACCATGCTCAATGAAAAATCGACAAAACAGGTTCAATGATAATGGACAAGGCACATTCAGAGACAAATGACAAGGCACGCTCAGTGCCCACAGGCAAGCCAATTGTAACCAAAAATGACAAATACAAAAGGTTAGCTAATTCGGTCTTACATCTATACGCCTTGGGGTGTAAATCTGGGTTGCTGCCATCTCATCACTGTATCCGCCTGTCTGGTGTATAACATGACGCAGGGAATCCACCTACAGGACAAAACAGATCAATTTAGAAATTTCTACACTGGTTACAGAGTTATTGGTCTCAATCTTCATCTACCAGTCCCAAATTTCAGAATTAATGATGATGAAATTAGGATGTTTTGATTATACCTGTTAGTGGAGGTTAGCATAACCAGGTCAGCATTGTAGACATCTCATACCCCAGCAATAATGCCAATCTCAAAGTAAAAATTCAAGCTTGGATTCAACTTCCACTCCCACATTTCCTTTGGAATCTCTTCCGTTAAGTTAAAATAAATTAAAAAGTAATGAATTAGGCAGTAGATTTAGCTGATAATGTACATTTTATTTTGGTATTTTGCAGGGGGGGCCTTATGTATATTATGTTTGCAGTCAATAGGGGGTTACAATGCTACAGGCTGGCCAACAATATCCACTATAAATCCACTGACTCCTACAGTTACCTTGACTATACATCCTCTCACCCTGCTTTCTGTAGAGACTCTATCCCATTCTCCCAGTTCCTCCATCTCATCTGTTCCAATGATGGCAACTTCTAAAAGGGGGCCTTCAAAATGTCGATCTTCTTCCTCAATCAAGGGTTTCCCACCACCATGGTTGACAGGGCCTCAGCTGTGTCCAACCCATTTCCCATACTTCAGCCTTCACCCCCCTCTTCCCTCCCACACAATGATAGGTTCCTCCTAATCCTTACCTACATCCCACCAGCAGCCACGTCCAAAAGATCACTGGGGGCCATTTCTGCTATCTCCAGTATATGCCACCACCAGATACATATTCCTGTCCTCTCCTTTGTCAGTTTTCCACAGGGACCATTCCCTCAGGTCACCATGGTCTTCTCCTCCACTCCCAACATCTCTCCACATCCCCATGACACCTTCCCTTGCAATCACAGAAGGTGTAACACCTGCCTGTTTATTTACACCCTCCTCACATCCAAGGGCTGGGACACATCTTCCAGGTGAAACAGTAGTTTACTCAAACCAGTCTACTGTATTCGCTGCTTACAATATGGTCTGCTGTACATAGGGAAGATGAAGTACAGACTGGGCAACAGTTTGCAGAATACCTATGTTCTGTCCACAAAAATGACCCTGAGCTTCCGGTTGCCTGCTATTTCAACACACCGCCATGTTCCCTAGCTAATATTGCTGTCTCAGGCTTGCTGCAGTACTCTAGCAAAGCTCAGTGCAAGCTGGAAAAACAACATTTCATTTTCTGCTTGGGAACCCTGCAACCTCCTGGACTCAATTATCAAGTTCATTGAACAAGACATGCTCAGTGACAAATGGACAAATTGAATTTTAGGGCTTAAGCAGCTTTTCCCATGTCCTTTCTCCAAATCCCACACACCAAGCCTCATCATCACATGGGCTGCTACCTCCAACAACCCACTGTCAGCTACTAATGGTCCCCATTAGCAGCTATTCATTCTCCCAGGCTGACCTTTACCCATTCTTTTGTCTGCCCAACTGGCTTTGTCTCTTTCTCTGGGCTCCATCTCCACCTATTGTTTACTCCTTAGCCTCTCCCACCCCTTCTTTAGCATATATACCAAACTTTTCCCAGCTCCAAACAGTTCTGAAGAAGGGTCACTCGACCCAAAATGTTAATTCTGCTTTCTCTCCACAGATGCTGCCAAACTAGCTGAATTTTCCCAGCAATTTCTGTTTTGGTTACACGACTCTGTTGGCTGGATAGCTGGTTTGCAATGCAGAGTGATGCCACCAGCATGAGTTCAATTCCCACACCAAGAAGCGTATGATGAGTTACCATGAAGTATACTCCTTTTAACCTCTCCCTTCTCCTGAGGTATGGTGACCCTTTGGTGAAACCACCACTGTAGTCTCTCTCTAATGGAGAATAGCCCTACAGCCTGATAAGACCATAGCAATTTTACCTTTTACAATGCAAATAGCAAAAAATTGCATTGCACAATATACACTATCTTATCGGTTCGAAGTTATGAATTTGGACACTATAGTGTATGTTACCCTGGGCTGAAAGGCATTGAAAAACCATGCTGGGTACAGAATGGTTTCTTCAATTCCTGCTGATAGCTTCATTCAGCAGAACTAATGGTGTGTGGCTTGCTTTGATTGTTCAGTTTAGATTTTAATCAATCATTTCAAAGCATAGCAATGCCAGCACTTACTTCTAGCTGGTGGTTTGTGCCTTGGTGGTCAATTCTGAGTTAGGCACTACCTGGTGAAACACTCTAACTTGACAATTTCTGCCACATTCACTTCCTGTATCACTGCTGGATTTTAAATAGAAGTAGTTTTAATATAAAAGAGGGAGCTTCTTAGAAGAGTTGAGGAACATATGAATTTAAGAACTTCGCAACAATTTCTTCTTTTCTACAAATTCGACCTTTGTGCCACATTACAGCAACATTTTAGTGGTGATCTAGACAGTTTCTATAAGCCATGAGTTATAAAGGTTGCAGACATCATAGCATTCCAACACGAGACAGCGAATATAGATCCATGATAGAGAAAAACACTGCTTAGGAGTGTTTGCGATTGCTTTTTCAGTCAGCTTCTTGTGTCACCTATTCAGGCAAAAATATTTTAAAAGGGGAGGAAAATCTCTGGGTTTACTGCTCTTTCAACCAATTAGATGCTGATAAATTACTTTGTCTAAATGTGCTCCTAACGGACTTGGCTTCTACGTTGCTGTATTGGTTTAAACTGTAAAGCAAAGCTATGTTTGAGCATGATTTCTACTGAAGAATTTAGACTTAGACCATAAACTACAAATGTTTGCTTGAAATTCCATTTCTGCTATTTTGTGCAGGTTTTTATCATGCAAATTAAACATTGCTACTACAAGAATTCATAAACGGCATGAATGTATTTAAGGGGAGCTGGATAAAACATATGAGGGAAAAAAAAACAGAAAGATATATCAATAAGGTGAAATGAAGTAGGTATGAGAAGGTCAGGTGAAAGATAACCAGTGTTTTGGACTTGTTCTGTGCTACACACACTGTAACACAATAGTGGAAGGCTAACAATGAAACATTAAGATGCAAGAAGTGAAACTGTGTTATAGCTGAACCACTGAAGCTGGGGAACTTACATTTTATCCATACTTTGGGAGACCATGCAGCTCAAAAGACCCACACCCACCCCAAACCAACCTCCTCCACTGTTCAGTTTGTGAAACATCCCTCCTCCTTAGCATTATGCAACTCCCTCTGACAATATTCAACCCTTTCTCAACCTCTCTACTGCTAGATACTAATCACCTCCCCCCATTCCACCCCGACTCAACCTCTGGAAACCTGGCTCCTGCTTGGCCAATGGTAGAATAATTGTTGGAAAGTGGGGAGTTCGTTGAGTATTTTCATAGTGTGAAGTGGAAGTGAGGAAAAACAATCCTTTTTTTGGGGGGTGGGGGGATGGTGCAGCATTGAAAGAGTAGGCTTCAGCATAAAATTTTAAGGCATGCTTCCCAACTGTTTGACCCACAGCCCTGCTGCAGCTGGCAAAGGAAGATTGAAAGGCTCCTGTGTGGAATGGTAAAGCAGCAAATTAAATTGCAGTCGCCCTCTGATGCTGACTAGAAAACCTGGGCTCTAATATGTGAGCCATGAGACCCTTGCACCTTAAGAGAATCCACACGGTATTATTCAGTGTAAGACACTTGTATTATAACAGACTTTGGCAAAGAGCCACACCTATGCTGAACAGCTGAGACCAAATTCCTGAAGCATCATAATGTGAGTCATCAATGAGCCAGACGTCTGCAAACATTAAATGGACAATTGTGTGTCAGATGATGATATATGATAAAAATAATGTTCTTTCAAAAATAATTCTTAAAAGTTGCAGTAATGGTTCATGCTGGTAGCTCATAAAGCAGCTATATTATTAGGGTTTTACAGGAACACAAGAAACAAGAGCAAATGTAAGCCATTTGAACGTCCATTCTGTGGCTCCATCATTCAATAAAATCGTGGTTCATCTTTCAGCTCACCTCCACCTTCCTGTACTAGTCACATATCCCTTACTTCTTTTGGTATTCATTTCAGTATTCCATTTACTATCTGTTGCCTTCTCTGCCTTGAATAAATTTGACAACTGAGCATTTAGAGTACAGAATTCCAACCATTTACAACTTTTGAGTGAAGAAATTTCTCATCTAAGTCCTAAATGGCTAGCCCCTTATTCTGATGCTGTGCCCCCACTTCAGGAAAATCCTTTTACCACCCATCTTGTCAAGCCCCTTAAGCATGTGTTATGTTCCAATAAGAATGCTGCTCATTCTTCTAAATTCAAGGTTTAATCCACTTCATCCCTCATTGTAGGACAACCCTCTTGTGTCAGGAATCAGAGATAACAAGGTGTAGAGCCTTCAGAAGAAGGGTCTAGGCCCGAAACGTCAGCCTTCCTGCTCCTCTGATGCTGCTTGGCCTGCTGTGTTCATCCAGCTCTACACCTTGTCATCTCAGATTCTCCAGCATCTGTAGTTCCTACTATCTCTGTGCCAGGAATTAGTTTGTTTTACCTCTGATGCACTCCCTCTAAGACCTTTGTATTTCTTCCTTGGTTAAGGAGACTAAAACTATACACTCTACTTACTATAGGTATTGTTCTATATAATTGCAGTATAACACTTTCATTAAGCCTTTGTAATAAATGTTAACATATACTCTTTTTATTACTCTCAGTATCTACAAGATAACTTCCAGTAATTCTTATGAATTGCACTAGGGTTCCTCTCAATACCAACGTAGAGCGTAACTTCAGATTTAGCCTCATTATCTGCCATATTCCTGTTCACTTAGTTAGTCTGTCTATATCCCTCTACATCATCTTCACATTCTTATACTCCCACCAAATGTTGTCTTGTTAGAAACCTTTGATTTGTAACACCCTGTCTCCTCATCAAACTCGTTGTTACAGATTGTAAGTAACTGAGGACAAATCATTGATCACTGAAGTGGCCTATTAGTGATATCCTGCCAATATGAAAATTACCCATTTATTCCTACT